CAAATATCCTTTTCACACATTATCTTTAGGCATATATTCACTTTGTAGTGGTGGATGGTTTAGTCGCTAAGTCGTGTCTGACTCTTGTGATCCCACAGACTATAGCCTGCCAGGCTCCTCTGTCCATGGAGTTTTCCAGGCAAGATTACTGGAGTGGGTTGCCATTTCCTTCTCCATACACTCTTCTAAAGAGTGCTTCTGCCTGTGCTTCTGCGTTTTGGTACCTGCTACTGCCCAATGTGTGTTTAGCTTTTCTCTGAGGGCTCTGAAATTGGACAAAACTCTCTTGAGACTGCCACTCATCTCTTCCCCTCAAAGATACACTTGCTTGCCCTTTTTTTTGTTTCAAGTTTTGTTTTGGTTTTTTTTTTGGTTCGTTATTAGTTAACAGATCAGGCACATCAAAAGAAGAATGGTGAAAGTCAACAATTTTGCAAGATTCTGAGGGCAGGATCACTCACAATGCACTTGATTCTCTTGTAGAGATGTCAACAGCATTCAATGGAACTTTGATGCTGAGACTTTTTTCTTAAACCTAGGGAGATCTTCCCCAAGGCAGACAAGCGAAAGCCTAAAGACTGCAGTCAAAGTAGAACAGCATGTGTCTAAAATGGGCAAGTTCTGTTTAGAGATCTGTACTGGTAAAGCCCATTTCTGGAACCCCACTCAGAGGGGTTACTTAGATACTTCCCCACAGAATGTGTAGGGAATTTTCTTTAGGATTGTAGGAGAAAATCCCTTAACTTTTGATTCTGACATAAGATAAAAGTGAGGCTACAATAATAGCAGCCAACTCTTTGGATTCAAGAAAATAGTATTAATTACGTGAAGATGAGGCAGGCACCACCATATGCCAAAGTATATGCCTTGTCATGCCTGACACTGTGCCTGCACTGAGATTTCAGGTAATCAGATACAGTGGGGAGATCTGGGTTTAATACATCATGTCGGAAATAGCAGGATACTTAGCAACTCTGTCTTAGCCCTGAGAGCCAGGAGAGTCAGGAACCTGCATTCTGGCAGCTGTGCCTCCTGCCATGGTCTCAGCTGCCTACATGGGGCAGAGCCAAGGTCCTCAGTCTGCTTAAACCCATGTGCATCTTGAAAATCAACTGAAGGCAAGAGACATTAGGTTTTGTGCCATTAATGATCAGAACCTTCTCTCCAAGCTCAAACAGGCTTCTTACCTATGAACTAATGAGACTTGTTAGAATCATGGAACTGTGCTCAGGAGATAGTAGGTGTTACAAATATTTTTGCTAAATGAATGAACTTCTTTTAGAGGTAGAGATGATTCTTAACTGCATTTCTTGTTCTATTTCCTGTGGCACTGAGATGTTTCCCGAGTCCGATACTCTGACTGTGGCAGATCCAGGAGCTCAGAGACTGTGAACAGTCAGCAAAACCCCAAGTTAAATGATGGGGGACCACCAGACAGACAAACAGATTTACTCTGCATAGCTACACAAGTGGCAGCATGGAAATCAAGAGCACAAACTTTGGAGTCAGCCTGGCCATCATTAGAGGCCACCGGCTCTGCCAGCCATGTGACTTTGACCAAATTAATCTCTAAAAGCATCCCCATCTGTAGGGCGGGGAATACAAATATCTATCCCACCAGGTTTCTGTGAGGAATAAATGGAATAACGTATGTCACATCCCTAGCACATTCCTGACCCACTGCAGGCGCTCAGGAAATGGGAGCTGTTATGGAAAACAGAACTCCCTGTAATTTAGGGCCCCACTGTCACTTCTGAATACACAGCTGTCACACTGCAGGAGACTCTGGAAGAAGCTATGGCATTCCACGTTCTCAACCTCTGTTGAAGACCTGGTTCACCATCTGGACTACACACTTTAGAAGGATGAACAAATTCCCACTCCTTAAAATAAAGTCAACAGACAGGCTTCCCTCTGCAGAAGTGTTCTGGCACCAGCCACCACATTTGGCCCTGATGCTGAAACATTTGTAAAGCTGCCTCTTCCCACTGACCTGAAAGCTACGTGATGGCAAGGTGACTAGAATACCAATACCAGCGGGGGAGGGGAGCCTTACTGGGCAGAGGAGGCAGAGTTCAATACGAATGTATCAGAACTGAATATTCCCCTCCCTATTCAGAACAGGTGAAGGGTTTCTTCTTTTCTTACTGATCCAAGGGCAATTCAGTGAAGACAAAGTCCTTCAGCCCAGGACTGCTTCTGCAGCTTCACGAAACTCCTCCTCCTCTAGTTCCAGCCTTCATTGGCCTCCTCTAATTGTTTCCCAAGAGGTTCTTATCGCACCCCAAAGCTTGTTTGCATGCTGAACTTTTCACCTAGTTAATTCCTCATTCTCAAATCTAGGCTAGCCATCCAGTTCCTTGGGGGAAGTTTTCCCCGGTGACTCCACCAAGGACCAGTCCCCCTGGTTTCATAGTATTAAGGACCCCCTCATTAATAAACTTACAGTTTGTAATTTTTAAAAAGTCAATTCTATTTGAACACAATAGGAAACCACTTAGTTCAGCTCAGATCTAGCTCTACTAAGTGTAAAGCTTTCCATTTCTGGGATGTACACAGTGTATTTTTTGAAATTACATGTTTCTGCAGCCTTTGGACATCAGCACCAGACACCATCTCATTAGAGGGGGGAATCTTCCTAGAAATGCAGATTCTCAGGCCCCACCATGAGAATTCAGGTTCCAACAGACTGAGAACCTCTGGCAGATGGGGCCCCATGACCTGGTGAAATGTGCAATCTGGTGGGTCCACCCCTTAATGGATGCTGTTGGGAGTCCCACCCAGATCCCCTTTGCTGGCACACCCACTCCCTCACTGTTGAGGGCCAGCTACCCACTCACAATGGCCTTTCTGGAACACTGCCCTTGGCAGAGGGAGCCACCCTGCCAGGCCAACTACCCCTTCCCTGAAGGAGACCTCGATGACCAACTGGCCCCTTTGCTTCAGTGGTACTAATTCTACAAAACAGTTCATGTCTTAGGGCCTCACAGTGGATGGCAATGAGCCTGGACTGCAGAGACCACACTCTTGCTTCTGGCCTTCCCTGGCCCCGTTCTGCTTCTCGTGCACCTTTTCTCCTGGGAGCAGGTCCTCAATCAACTGCACAAGAACCCTAGTCTCGGACTCTGCTCCTGAGGAATCCGACCCGTGGCAATTACTTTTATAATCTCAAAAAATTTACTCTTACCAGAACATGTCTGTCCACAAATGGCCACAATTATCTCACCCGGGGCACTTTGAGAACCAGCACCCATATCTAAAATCAGACAAACTAGTTTCAGGTCTGAATCTCTGTGTTTTATATTGCATGCAGCTCAGGGGGTGTTTGGTTTCTGAGATGGTGTGGTGCACACACAGGCAGACTCAAATCTTGGCACTGCAGTTTGTGTGGACCTCTTCCTGCTTCCTCACCACAAAACGGAAACAGCAACATTGCCCAAGACACGGAGTTTTTACAAGAATTAAATGAGATGGTACACATACTTTTCAGGGCCTTCGTTTTCTTAACAGGCTTAATTAGGGAACTTACCTCACAGGGCTTCTGAGATTCTCACCAGCTATGATCCAGGAGAAAGTCTCAGCAGTGTGCCTGGCATGTGGTATACACTCAGGTAGGCCCAACATTGCCATCCAAACAAGTGGGCGATGAATGTTCGTGTCCTTCCCATAACTGGTTTGGGGATTTTAGATTTCTCTGGAAGTTCAGTGTCCACTGCATCTCACCATTCCAATAATCAGAATAATCTGGCATGGAGTTCTTATTTCGGAGAACTGGCTTTTACAAGTAAGCCCACTGAAATTCTCTACTACCGTTATTTGCAAGACAGCAGCAGCAAAGAGCTCAGCTTTTTATTGAGCCTGTCTCTAAAGAGGTCTAGTCAAAACGACCGAAGCCCGGGTCAGCATCACACTCCTCAGATTCCTCTTTGTTTTCACTTCCTTCTCCTCAGCCGGGGCAGCAGGGGTGGAGGGGCGAGACCTCCTGGCGGGCAGGCCCGCAGCCCCCACACGGCAGATGAGGCACCCAGTGCTAACATTGGCCAGAGCCTCTGCAAACAAGCCTGCCAGAAAGGCTCCCCGTGTACACGCCGCTCTGATGAGGGCACTGACCTTACCCTCAGGGACGGTCACCTCACCCACCTCACCGTCCCGTGCAGGCTGAGGCGAACAGAAGCCAGTGAGCTCCGTGGCCCGAGGCCTTGCGGCGGACGGGGGCGGCCACATGCCGTGTTACTCGCGGATGGACCCAGCACCTTAGAGGCAGCTGAGGAAACGGACTTTTCTTTTTTTCCTTTTGGTCGAAAACAAAGATACATACGGCCAGAAAGGATCTAAAGAATTTCGCCTTCAAGTCTTGTTTCAACTTGCTTATGGAGTAAATCAGGCTCCAGTCCCCACCAGCCCTGACCTGCGCACGGCTGCCCGCAGAGGCGCGCGCGCTCCGGGTCGAGCGCTCGCTCGCTGTGGGAAGCGCGCTCCAATCACAGGCCACGACGCACCCTACACCACGTGACCCCCAGGGCTAAAGAAGGCTTGGTAGCTTGATATTATTTTTACTAAGAAATATTATTTAATGACTTATAATTCGCCAGTGAGGCAAGAGAACATCCATCCTTTTGTTATCAGTTAATAACAGGTTTGCCTTGGGAAACTAAATCCCATTTAATCCAAAGTGGAAAAGAGTGAGCTGAAACTCCTCCAGTTCGGCAACAGGCGGGTCTGGCAGCCGACCAGGGAAGGGAAGCTCAACTGTGCCTCTACTGCATGGCGGGGAAACAGTTTGTCTGAGAAATGCGCTAGGGCTTATTTGGTGACGTCTCAGTCATCCAGCTGTGACAAACTGCACCCCGACACCCAGAGTGTGGAAGCCCGAGAAGCCGTGGTGCCCCGAGTGCCCCTGCCCTCCCCTGGGAGCGGGTGGTGAAGCCCCACGCAGACAAACAGACCCATACGTTCCGAGAGACCTCCGCCCTAAGAAAAGAAGATGTTAGGAGACCGTATTTTTATAACATTTTATGTAACTCATAAAACAGTGCTTGTATAAAAATTCACACAGTTGCTAGAGAGCATACAATTTCCAAAAAATGTCCTGGGTTTTTGTTACATTCAGTTTTCTAAGGGTGCACTCAAATCAATGGTAAAATGCAGACATTATGCAATGTTTCATTATCTTTGGTAAAACTATTCTCATTATTTTGTCTCCTCACAGTATTAACTCTGATATCCACTTTGCGCAGGGTCTGCTATCACTAGGATGTCAGAAAAACATTAAGGCTGGATCTACAAGAGACACGTATCTCTGAATGACATTAAGAGTCCCTTGGCCCAGGGGCCCCCACTTCTTTTTTTGCCCTATAGCATGTGAGATCTTAGTTCCCTGACCAGGGATAGAAGCCGCGCCGCCTGCAGCGGAAGCACGGAGTGGTCACCACTGGACCACCAGGGAAGTCCCACCGCTTCAAAGCATCTCTCTCCATGGTGAGGCAGGGTTAAGAGCTCAATGGCCTCCAGTCTGAGGTCTTGAGACCCTCCTCCTCGATCAGGCAAGAAGTAAACATTTGGGGCAAAGGTAGAAAATGAAGCCATGTCTGCAGGAACCCACGTGGCCATACTATGGTGTGGTCAGGCCAGTGACTCTTAGCATTTAAACAGTTAATCCGCTTACCACTAAGTAGATCCCATTGGTTGGTTGATGATTGCTGCTGCTGTGGTACCCCCTCCCACCAAACTTAAAAAGCAAGGAAGGGTGGGGTCCAACACTGAGGGGGAGGGGCACACTAACACCCATGACACCAGTACAACTTTATTCCCTGTCAAACCTGTGTTGTCATGGAGACACAGCCAAAGTGAACGGAAGCAGGGTTAGAACACTCAGTACATTCATGACTATCTTCGTACATTCTTTTAAAACTCACTAACAGAAAAACGAGGGACACTACCACCTATTGTGACGTGCTATTTTACTCAACATCAGAATGTGTCTGTGCTACTTCTGGATGTGAGGGAGAAAAAAATTCCCCAAACACAAACAAGTATTAACAAAAATCAAAGAATTTAGATGCGGAGGGAGTAGGGGTTTTGCCAACAGATTTTATGGAAAACATTAAATTTTGAAAAAAATTTAGATATTTTATAATTCTATTGCTTCATGTAAAAAAAAAAAAAAAAGCCCCTGGAGCCCACCTGTATGGCTGGAGGCTGAGGACACCACACAGACACAGGGCCTGCAGGTGGTTCCTGGTGAGTCAGTCCAGAGAGACAAGATACAGCTCACACAGAGAGCGGCCACCTCTCTTCACTGGAAGGGACTCTGAAATTTGGGGGAAGAAGCCCCATGCAGGAAAAGTATTAAAGAAACCATCAAAACATGGTTTCCAAAAACTGAACATGCTCTAGGTTATAAAGAGATATATTTAATTCCTAGAACCTGCTGACGTCTCTATTGTGGGTAGACAGGATGATTAAAAAAAAATTTATTAAATGATTGTGCTTCTGAAGTTGCAGGGTCACATTCCACCCTCTAGAAAGCAGGGCAATATTCACATGGCTTGGAATCCTCTTGGATACATCCTAGAGACCAGAACAAATTCCACAGCACCCTCCCACCCGCAGGACTGGTGAGGGAGAGAGCCACTGCCATCTTTGGGTGTGTGCACGCACATGCACGCAGGCATGCATCTGTGTGCTGGAGAGACTAAGGCATAGAGAGAGGCCCAGGAGAGGGGGAAGTGAGTCTCCGGCTGCTCCAGTCCTCCTCCTTTCCAGGCACAAAGAGGTTGAGCTTGTTATTCATGTCGGTCCCCTTCATCTCACTTCAGTTTTTTACTAAGAAATGTGTGTGTACACATGTATGTGGGTGGGTGAGAGAGAGTCATTAAGTCCCTGTGTGTTTCCAAACTGTAATAATTTAGGTCCGCAGTTACAACGGAAATAATCTGTAAATGACATTTAAAAGCAAATTTACTAAAGTTAGATCGGCAACTTCACACTGCTCAGAATCCTGTCATTAAAAAAGAAAAAATGGCTGCGAGTGCAGGCAAAGTTCCATCATACAGTCACTAAAGCTGAAGTCCTTATCTGTATGAAGAGAATTCACAGATTGTTTCTATTATTTCTGCATTTTAAGGTAGCAAAATATTAAGCCATTAGGTTATTAAATTAACATTCCACAAGGGTTTTACAACTACCCTGTGTGATTCATCAATTTATTTTCTAGCTTTCTGGTATGATGTATTGTGTTTAGACTGTTCCCTTTCCCTCTTAGGCACTAGCCCCCAAAGTCAGGTAGGTAAAAGTATTGTTTTTACATTAAGGACTTTACCTGTTGGGGAGTTTCCTGGTTGGAATCCTGGAGAGCATGCCACTGGCCTGGAGCAGTGTGACCTTCCCAACCAGGGAAGAGAAAAGAGGTGTCTCATCCTGAGGCCGAGGGACCGGCCAGATGTAGGAGAGCAGGACCTTCTGGGGGCCCAAAGGGAAAGCTCTGAGTGGACCCCGGAAAGGGATATGGGAGCCCTATTTCAGATGGCCTATGTCCTTCCAACACCAGGTATCCTCAAGAGAGCCCACGGTTCAGGCCCGGCCCTGAGGAACAAGGTTGTGTACTGACTGCAGGAGCCGACACTGAGGTGTGGTGAAGCCACCATACAGCTCCCAGAACCTGGGTTTTATACAAATACACATACGCAAAGTAAACAGTTCTTGGTGAGCCCAGTGGGGCCCATCCTTAAACAAGAAGCCAAATATCCACACACAGTTTTCCAAGGAAATGTGTTTGTCCCTCTAACCAGCATCCTTGTGTAGGAAGGAAAGAGGGCAGTGGAAGGACACAGCTCAAATGAAGACACTGTGAACGTGTTTCCACATCTATCTACATTCATATCACCATCATCACCATCCAGTGTTCTCGTCTACAGGGTGAGCACAACATTCTTACTGGCGCAGCAGTGTGAGACAGGCCAGGCCAGGCCGTCCCCGTAGCCCCTTCCTCGGCACCACAGTGGGAGGGAGAGTGCCACTGACCGTGGTCAGAAAGGACACCGAACTACTCCATCCCCTCCACCGCCATCCAAGAGGCATCCTGACTCTTCCAAAATCTGATGTACTAATAAAAGACAAGGTCAGTAAAATCCGTCTCTATGCCACCTGAAGCTATCAGCCATCATGCATGAACATGGCACTTCTAAAAATTTCATATATCTGAAACCATCTTAAAAAAAAATTCCCAGTGACTGAAGTCATCTTACAGTACTTCATCTCAAATATTAAAAAAAAAAATTTTTTGAGTAAAATGGCCCCCACAGAGCCCAATGATTTTCTTAAAAAGGGTTTCTTTTTAATTTAAAAAAAAAAATTTTTTTATAAAAATGGAAGATGTAAAATGTGGGAAGAGGAACAAGAAGGTTGTTTGATTTGCATTTCAAATTGTGAGGGGACCGGGAGGACGCTGCCAAGGAGAGGGGACCCTGACTCCTGAGGCCCCTCTGCCCTCGCAGCTCTGCTCTCCCCAGACTCTGGCTGCATCACCAGGAACACAGGACAAAAGTCGTAAGTACAAGAGACCAAATGCGAGGCTTCTTTGTCGTGGTCGTGGCCGTGGCCAGCTGGGCGAGCGCGTGTGCAAATGCAGCAGGCCCCGCCCCGCCGATATAAGGTGCGCGGCTGTGGATGCGGCTCGGGCTCGTGGTGGGGGGGGGGCGGCAGGGGGCGACGCTCAGTGCCCCACGCACCCCTCACTTCTCCACCTTCTTGGCTTTCTTCAGGATGTCGCATTTCTTTCTGTTGGGGCGGCGGCAGCGTTCGTCGATGCTCGGGATACATTCGTAGTGCCACACCTCCTCCATCTTCTCCACCGGGTACACAGCCTCCACGTAGTGGCGGATGAGCCGCAAGCGTGTGGGGTCCAGCTGCTTCTTGTTGCAGGCCCCGGAGTGGTTGTACTGCAGCCGCAGGTTCTCGGCGGTGAAGAGTTCTGGGAAGAGCCGGACGAGCAGCCGCGCGGCGAAGTTGCCCACGGAGAGGCTCTGCTGCACGATCTCGCGCACTTCCTTGTCGGACAGCAGGTACGGCGAAGGCACCGGGAAGTCGGGCGAGGGCACCACCAGCTCGTCCAGGGGGATCTTGCAGAAGTCCTTGCTGCTCCTTTCGGGGGGCAGCGGGGGCCCCTCAAATTCCTCCCGGAACCGCTCGGGGTTGATTGCATAGCTGGCCAGGTCCCTGCACTCAGGGCCCGGCACGTGGACCTTGCGCTGCTGCTGGTAGGAGCGCCGCTGCTCCGTGTCCCGGCGCCGGCAGCGCTCGTCCAGTTTGCCCACGAACTCCAGTGTCCAGACACGGTCATTCTTGGCCCGTGGGTAGAGCAGCTGCACATAGTGGCGGATGAGCTTGATACGGGATGGGTCCAGCTGCTTCTTGCCCAGGGAGCCGCTGCAGTTGTACTGCTTGCGCAGGTTCTCGTGGGTGAAGAGCTCCGGGAACAGGTGCACCAGAAGGCGCGAAGCAAAGTTGCCGATGGACAAGCTGCTCTCGTAGATGCTGCGCAGCTGCTCCTTGCTCAGCAGGCAGTCGGCGCCCGGCACTTCGAAGTCAGGCTGCGGGATCTCCAGTTTGTCGAAGTCGATGGGCACCAGCCAGATCTTCTTGGACCGCCGGCCGGGCCGCTCGCCCTCGAAGCTGTCTTCCACCTTGACCACGGAGATGTCATCGGGCAGGCTGGACGAGTCGTAGCAGTCGTCTCGCGGGGGCTCTCCCTCGCTGCCCGCGTCCAGCCCCAGGCCCTCTAGCTCATCATTGATGCGCTGGGCACACTGCTGCAGCCAGGCCTCCTCTTCCTGCATGTCGGGGAAGTAGATCTCTGTGTAGTTGCGGATGATCTGCAGCCGCTGCGGGTCCAGCTCCTGCTTGCTGCCATCCCCGTAGCAGCTGTACTGCTCGCCCAGTTTCCGGTGGTCGAAGAGCTCGGGGAACAGCCGGTGCAGAAGGAAGACCGCGAATTCGCCGGGGGATGAGGCCTCATCCAGGAACTCGGTGAGGTCCTGCGTGTCCACCACATGGTCAGAGGCGATGGTGCTGCTGCGGTCCAGGGACAGGGCCTCCTCCTGCTCCTTGCTGTCCAGGAAGTGGCCAGCGTCCACCTGGGGCTCGGCCTCGAAGAAGCCAGACACCTGGCCGCTGGGCTGGCTGTCCTCCATCTCCCGCTGGGCCCAGAAGCGGCTGAAGAAGTCGTTGAGCTGGGGCAGGCACTCGGCCTGCCACACAGCCGTGTCCTTCACCGACGGGTAGTAGACCTCCACGTAGTTCCGGATAAGCTGCAGGTGCAGCGACTCCAGCTTCCGCTTGGCCGCGAAGCCGCAGGCGCCACAGCCCCGGGAAAAGTCCACGTCGCTGAAGAGCTCTGGGAAAAGCTGCACCAGCAGGCGGCAGGCCAGGTCGCCGCCCGACAGGCTCTGGTCCACGATTTGCTTGAGCTCGGCCGCCGTGAGCTGGTACTCGGGTGGCGGCTGGAACTTGGCCACCATCTCAGTGGGGCTCACCTGCTTCTTGATGCGGCTCACCTCCAGGGAGAGCAGGTCCACCTTACTGTGCAGCTGTGACATGTTGGAGGAGAGCGTGTTGAGCATGTAGAACATCTTCTGGATGAGAAAGTAGATGTTGGGGTCGCTGTCGCTGGCTGCTGCGGGGCCGCCAGTGTCCCGCTTCTGTGTCTCGTTCAGGAGCCGCAGTGGTGAGGGGCTGTTGCTGGGGTTCACCTTCTCCGAGAGCTCATAGGTGTTGAGCATGTCCCCTGCGGGAGGGTTCTTCTTCTCCATGATCTTGTGTGAGATGCCGTACAGAGGCTTCTTGTAGGAGGGTGTGCTCACGTCGTGGCTGGGATCCTCCTCACCTGGCCACACGGAGCCCAAGTTCTTGCCCCGGCCTGCCGGCTCCCCGTTGCCCTGGCAGGGCGAGCTGTTCTCCCGGTTCCGCATGCCTGCTAGGAGCGCCTGGAAGACAAAAGGTATGTCAGGTGAACGTTCTGATCTATGTCACACACAGAGGGGCCCAGGTCAACCTTAGGAGCCTATGAGAAAGTGCTTCCCTTGCCTGGGAACCATTCTGTGGGTCCAGAACACACCATCAACACAAACCTGCATCCCAGGGCCAAACTTGCTTGCTCTCCCTAACCCCTGAGAGGCTCAGGCTGGACCCTGGAGGCTTTCAATTCCTGTAGGACACCATCCCTGAGCTTCCTGTCCATAGACCGAGCACAGATGCTGACAGGCCTGGCGAGAGCCCATGGGGGTTGGGAGAGAGACCCCAGGAACAGGAAGCGCTCCTGTGGCAGCCTGGCTACGGACAGGTCACCTCATTGCCCTGACTGCTCTAAGACAGGCAGGTCCTGCCAACGGCATCTACAGAAAGCACAGCCTATTGCCCAGTTTGCAGACTCTAGGAGAGCAGACGTCTCTACTCTGGACAGCTCCCAAGATGCACAGTGCTGAGCATGGACGAACTGGAATCTAGAGAGCCATAGTCAGCTGCCAGCTCTACCAATGCCTGGAGTCATATTTCAGGCGGAAAAGGCCCAGAATTGCCCCAAGCCTAACCAACTGCAGATTCCGTGAAGTGATGAGGCCTCCCAGGTTTCTAAGTCTCAGTCTCCTAGTTCCAGCAGCCCTTCTCAATCATTAAGCCCCAGATCCTAAAGCACCCACTGTGTGTAATGAATTAACACCTTTCCTATGCATCTAGAAAGGTACTTTCGATGCTCTCTCCAGCCTTGCTCAATAGAAGACAGTGAGAGAATTAATGATTTCAGGAATTATCTCCTCAACTTGCCCATTTGACATACTTTGCAGGTCCACTCTCAATGTACTCCCAGGGCCTGTTCAAGATACCAAAGCTTGAGTCCAAGCTTCATACCAGAAGGCAACTGCCCTGACCATTTGGTATCCCAGAGTCCTCACTGCTTTCATTAGTGGTTTTCCCTATTGCTAGGCCCTGGATGGTTTAAGAGGTTTACTGACATATATATGGACAAATGATTTTCAACACAGGTTCAAAGGAAATTCAGTAGAGAAAGGAGAATCTTTTCAACAAATGATGCTAGAAATATTGGGCATACATGTGCAAAAAAAAAAAAGGAAAAAACTTTCATTCTATATGTATCATATAAAAAATTAGCTAAAAAATGGATCATGGATGTAAAAATAAAAACTACCTTGAAATTCTGGGCTTCCCTTGTAGCTCACTTGGTAAAGAATCCACCTGCAATGTGGGAGACCTGGGTTTGATCCCTGGGTTAGGAAGACTCACTGAGGAAGGGGAAGGCTACCCACTCCAGTGTTCTGGTCTGGAGAATTGCATGGACTGGATAGTTGATGGGGTCGCAAAGAGTCGGACATGACTGAGCGACTTTCAACTTCTCACTTTCAAATTAAAATTCTAACACCTCTAGAAGAAAACTTAAGAGCAATCCTTTATGACATTGTTTTAGGCAAATACTTCTCAGATATAACACACAAGCACAATACATAAGAAAACAAATTAATGAACTGGACTTCATCAAAATTTAAAACTTCTTTACAAAATGAAAAACAAGCCTAGACTGGAAGAAATCAGACATATCTTTTATCTGATAAAGGACCTGAATCCAGATTACATAAAGAACACTCAAACTCAATGACACATAACCCAATTAAGTTTCAACAATCACTTTGGAGAAGCTATATAAATGGCAAATAAGCACATAAAAAGATGCTCAGTGGGACTTCCATGGAGGTACAGTGGTTAAGACTCCACACTTCCACTGCACAGGGCATGGGTTGGATCCCTGATCAGGGAACTAAGATCCTATATAAAAGATGCTTAAGAACATGCGTGACATTAAACTCACACTGAGATAGCATATCACTCCCCACAAGGATGGGTATAATCAAAAAAGATGATACTGAGTGATAGAGGTGACATGAAGGAACTGGAACTCTCATAGGCTGCTAGGGTAGACATACAATGGTATAACCACCTTGGAAAACAGTTGGTATTTTTTTTAAGTTATATGTTGGACCATATGATCCAGGTATACTCCATTCCTAGTTATTTATTTACCAAGCAAAATGAAAGCATATGATCAAATACTTTTATGCAGATGTTCATGGCAGCCCTGTTTATATACAGCTCCCAACTGGAAACAACCCTAATTTTTGTGAACAAATATACAGATACACTGTGTTTACAGCAGAGTACCACTCAGCAACAGAGCTGACCAACCTCAGAATAAGCTGCGGAAGAGAAGCCAGATAGATAAGAGAGGCCTGTAGGGTGCCATTCGTATGAAATTCTAGGCAAGGCAAACTCATCTTTAGTGACAGAAGGCAGGGGAAAGGATGCAAAGGGACACAAGGCAACTTTCACGGAACAGGTGATGGATGTTTCTCATCTTGATTGTGGTGTGGTGCCACTGGTATGTACACGTCAAAACATATCAAATGGTATATGTCGTTCATTACATTCCCGTCATAAACCTGTTTTTGACAAATGTTGAATTTGACCCCAAAGTATACTGGAATATATTTTTGAGGGCCTATTTAGGCAGAAGAGCTAACTGGAGAGCAGTGGTGGGTGTCAGGGGAGCAGGCAGGGTTGAAGCACAAAGAGGTTCTTCCACAGACACATGTGAGCCTTGGGCAACTGGGAAATGCCAGAGAACAAAGCGCCTCCTTAGGAAGCTGGGGAAAAATACGGCTGTGTAGCCTGACCTATCACAGCACTTCTAGAAGTCTAACGTCCATACTAATTGCCTGAGATCTAGTGAAAATACAGATTCTGATTCGAGGCTCTGCATTTCTAACAAGCCACTGGGCCTCTCTGGATGGCCAGGGCTAGGAAGACAGTGTTTATCCCCAGTTTATCTCATTCAGGCAGATTCAGTGTCATTTATAAGCCTTCAGACAGCACTAATGCCAGCATGACACAGTACCCGAGGCACTCTACTCTTGCAACCTTGAAAGAAAACAAAGGAAAAACACAGGGAAAAGAGGCAGTCTCTGCGGGGACTGCCACTACAGAAGCAGGTGAGCAACACAAAGGCCTGAGTCGGAAAGAGACCATGGACAGATCGCCCTACTCACGGCCCGTGCCCCCTGCACGGAAGCTGGGGCTCCTTGCCACTGGACCGTCACGGAACTCCCCAGACCCTCCTGCTTAGATAATGGAAACATCAGACTCATATTAAACACAGGTTGATTTTTCTCCTGCATCTCTGCTGACAACAACCATGCAAAAGAACACCTACCTTAGTCTCTCAGGAACCTGAAAAATAATAGGATTCTTTCAAGTGCTTTAATTATCCTGTGTATGTGTGTGTTATTCACTCAGTTATGTCTGACTCTTTGACACCCCATGGACTGTAGCCCTCCAGGCTCCTCTGTCCATGAAATTCTCCAGTCAAGAACACCGGAGTAGGTAGCCATTCCTTTCTCCAGGGCATCTTACCAACCCTGGGATGGAACCCCGGTCTCCTGCATTGCAGGCAGATTCTTTACCATCTGAGCCGCCAGGGAAGCCCTGATTATCCCACGGAGGTAGCCAAAAACAAACCTGATAAAGGGTCAGAGATCCCTGACCCTCCTACTACTGCCCGTGAGCAGAGGACAGGGGGCTTTCAGGCTGGAGCGAGCCTGCTGCCCACCCCTCTCCCTCGTGGGGTCTCCTCCCTGAGACTTATCTGTGCCCCCACCACACTGCATGATGCTTACATGTGGGACCAGGTCTTCCCTACTCCATCTCCAGAGTCCTGCAAAGTGCCTGGGACACAGAGTGCTCACTGAACATTTGTTAAGCAGGGTAAAGTGTGTACTGCTCTCAAATAAATGCTTAAGAAAAATGTTCAAAGAGGCCACTAGCTTCATGAATAACATGAGTGTAGGGAGGCGTAAAGCCTCCCTGGTGGCTCAGTGGTAAAGAACCCGCCTGCCAATGCAGAAGACACAGGTTTGATTCGATCCCTGGGTCGAGAAGATCCCCTGGAGGAGGAAATGGCAACCCACTCTAGTATTCTTGCCTGGAAAACCTCATGGACAGAAGAACCTGGTAGGGTACATTCCATGGGGTTGCAAAAGAGTCACACATATCTAAATACGACTACAGTCCATGAAATCACAAACGGTCACACACAACTTAGCGACTAAACAACAAAAATAAGGGAGGTATAAAGGAGTGGCTGGGTCCTCTGCGTGACCCCTTACATGTCAGCTTCCTGTGTGTAACTCAGGAATATATAATGGTCCCTGTCTCAGGTACCAGGGTAGCTATGAGCACCTAATGAGATAATGAACATGATGCACTGAGCCCATCTCTGAATCACAGAAAGTGCTTAATAAATATTTAATGTTATAGTACGATTATTATTAACAGTGCTCTTCCCAAGCCAGAGCAGTGACAATACAATGGGCTTTTTATTGAACTAGTTGTAATGATTACTCTTAACTATTAAATAAAGAGGAGAACTAAAGAACCTAACATGAGTTAAGGAAGGTGTAAGTAACTTAAGAACTTAAATAAAAGGAGAACTTTCCTCCAGTGTAGCAGGGTAAGTCACTCATAGAAGGAATTCTTAGAGGTCTGTTTGCCCTAAAGGCTGGGCTGGGAGGAGTCCAAGAAGCACAGGTGAGCTCAAGGTGGGGTTTTAGACTCTTTTCAGTTCTTTAGTTCTGCTGTCAGCAGAGAGCACAGGATAATTTTAAAAAGGAAGGAAGAAAGGAAAGAAACCAAATTACACACATCAGAAATATGAAGAAAGGGAGGAATGGAGATGGTTGAAAATCTTTACCCCTGAGGCAACATGTTTGGAACTGTGGGTTGTCATATGACCCATTTAGAAATGATGACACTGATTTGATGGATCAAAACCAGCATTAAAGAGGGAGGGAAGGAGGAAGTGTGAAAGACAGGAAGGAAAGAAAGAAAACAACAGAAAATATCAGAGGGCATTTCACACAGTAAA